GTAAATAATTGATAAACATTTTCAATTTGAAAAACGTGGTTCTGCTTACCTTAAGAATGGCGTTAAAAGGATTACCACAATCTCACAACTCCGTAATCTAACTGTAGAGTAATAATGAATAGGTGACACTTCTCTGGCAAGAAGAACGCCCATTTTGGCGTAAGAAATTAACATTTTATAGCCTAACTATTGGCAATATTTGACAGCAATACAAACAATTCAACGATAACTTAGTGGGACAAAGTATTTTTTTATACGTTATCAAGCATGTCCTTATTTATAACCTACTAGTGCAAAGGGTCAGTGGATGTACCGATTAATCATAGCAGCGAAAACTGCGGATAAATACTTACAGAAAAGAGAATAAACTAGACATCTTGTAGACAATAAGGGTTTATTCCTGGTTTTAACTACGTCACAAAAATAATGAACTCAATGTAATCTCCAAAATCTTGCATTCGTAATTTATTGGTCACTTCACGTTATGAATCAAAATGTTAGTTCCTCGTGTACAGTTTCGGTTCACGGAGCGATAGGCAATTTTCTTTTTAAAATAAAGTTATATTTTTGTATAACCGGGGACAGTGTTGATCAGATAGCAGGTCAAAACTGCCGAATTTAAAAACCAAATTTTCTAAAATTGTTATTTCTTATATCAAGCCCCTTATAAGTGCACGATTCTACGGAGCCCCATCAGTGCAACATTCTATTCGTACATAATTATTTCGTGCACGATTCCACTATAATATCCCTTTTAAACGAAATATTATTTCGTAACGAATTTGTTATTTCATTTAAGCGAATTAGTTTCGTTAAAACGAAATAACGAGTCAGTGTGGAGGTATAAAGTCGTTGGCCTTGTGTAGTCGCCGTTAAGTCAACAATTTGCGAACGCGATAGAGACTATATTTTGGTGTGAAGCATTAAACGAACCAATAACTTCGTTACAACGATTTAAATGATATAAGATTTAATGCGTCGAGAAATGATCCCAAATTCTTCACACCTAGTTTGAAAATAAAATAAAACCACAACAATATCGTTTTCGAATTTGTACCTGTTGCATTTTGAATGTATCAGGATTGTGTATGAATGATAAGTATGATATTAAAATATATACATTGATAAATTATAAATATAAAAATATAAAGTTTAGTATGAATAAAAATATTGATGTACTGGCAATATAAACTTTTACTTGATATGATTATTTTAAATCTTTTCTATTTTCAGTAGTATGGTAGACTTGCGTTTTGGTACCTACGGGACTGCCAGCTTGGGAAGAAAATGGTATTTCATGTTGATTAGTTTAAAGGGATTTTCTCGAATTTCATAGAGCCTAAGATATAACATTCCGTGTACGTATGAAATTTAAACGCCAAAATATAGAGGAATAGTGTATTTACCTTGTCTGAAAAGTTCAGTTCGAAATATTGTGTCGTTTGGACGTGAACGTCAAAATTGCTTATCCGGACACTAGCATTTGTATGACGTTTTTTCGTTGGCCCTTTGATAATCGCGACTATTCTATACCGATTGTTAACTTCATTGAAAAGAGAGCTTTGATTCACTTAGCCACACTGATCCGCAGTGAATATTTGCTTGGCCGCGACAATCACTGATAAGGATGACATTGATGCGGCTTAATGAGCTAGAAATATTAACTTTTTTCCTGCGACAAATTAAATTCTAAAACATTTTTTGTATATACTGGAAAAATAAATAAAAGCGTTTGACGTATTTGTAGGTAAAAATTATTTCCGATTTAGTGTAAATGGGTATTAAATTGACTAAAATGCAGCATTCTCTCCGAAGCAGTTATGTCTTATGTAAACAATGCACGCGCCATTCAGCCAATGATTCACACCGCGTGCTGTGACAGCACGTGTTAAGGCAGTCATCTATGACAGAGATATTATACGAGACTCGTAATTCTCTGTGAAACAGATTGTCACTTAGCTTGTTGAGGGTAAGCTATAATTTGCGAAAGGAAATCTGATTGGATGTTTATTTTAAAACAGCCAATCGCTATATTTTACCCGAACATCGGCCTAAAATGTGATTCAATCGGGTCAAACTGAAAGTTGGGAGTTTGATGTCTTGTTCAATTCATCACGGATAACACTCGAAAGAGTCAAAGAGAACGTACAGTTACAGATACTGCACAGAAAAGAAGAAAGAAATATTTCATGCGAGGTTACACAGCACAGAAAAAGACGAATGTGTGTATTTATGTGGAAAAGTAGAGAGATGGAAATTTGAATGATTTCAACAACAAAGCCCACTTCACGAACACGTTGCCAATATGAAGTAATAAAAACTTTTAAACCGGTATGATATTTTATTGGAGGAATCATCTGTAAATAGTGTAAATTAGTAGTATTATCTTTTTGGAATCGTCAATTTTTATTAGAGACGTATGTACTCACAGCTTTCATTTTTAATTTATTTATTTTCTTTTTTTTAGTAATATTACATCTATACTATAGTTTCATTCAGTTAGTTTTTGTTAGCTCTGTTCGAATGAAAAAATAAAAGAGCCAAGATTATTTTCAATTTATTATTCTGTATGAGTTACCTTCCCATTTATTTATATGCTTATGTAACTATAGACCTACCGGTACATGATGTAAACATAGGAAAAAATAAACATCAAATACAAAGACTTATTTATTTTACAGGCACACAGGAAATAAATTGAGTCATTCCATGCCAGTAAGTTCCGGTAATTACAACCAATACAGACCTGCAGTTGTAGTTCAAACTAGGCCTGGTAGTTATGATGATTTATCATGATTTTCAAGTTCGACTGGGTGACCGGTTGGTTAAGGATCAGAAATAAAATGGCGGTTTAACGTCCTACTGATGAAGTCCGGCATATGCTACAGTGTGCTATGAGGGAAATTTTACCTAGGCAGCAGCACTATGGCCTACTCTTGCGTTGATTTTAATTTGCATGCAAATCGTGAAACACTAAAAAGAGCTGACAGAAATATTAGGTTAGTTTTCCCCTTACTTATGTAATAACATTCAACAATATCTAATAAATGACCCGTCCCACAGTCATGTAAGAAACTAATTGGTCAATTTTAACCATGGATCAAATGTGTTTATAAAATATGAGAAAACATCAAATTATTGTGTCTCATCTCTGTACAATCAAACTGTGATTTTGGAGCTGGCTCACGAACCTTGGGGTCCAAGAAAGTTTTTCTGCATTATCAATCCTGGTTTTCTAAGGTCAGCAATAAAGGGGGGCGGGGGTGATGTGTATATCATTTGCAGCATGATACTGTTCTCCTGACAATTGAAGTTTCACTGTTCAGACAATTTCCCACATATAACACTGCATGACATATGCCCATTTCCTTTAATCTTTTTAATTTATCTATTTTTCAGATATAAAACAAATACTCAAAAAGATCGGCAACGTTGTCAGGGGTACCTTTAACCTGGGGCAGTTATATTCAGACCCAGCTGATCCAACGAGAATACAAAGATCCCCCTCCACAAGTCCACCCACTCTAGAAGATATTGTGAAGAAACAGACCACAAAATTTTAAGAATATTATAGAATATAATATATTCTGACCAAAATTAAATATACACAATATAAAACAGGAATATGTTTTAATAGCATCAATGTTTATTAAACATGCATTATCAAGAAGTAAATGTGCCTATTGCAGGTCTTTCTTTAGGTCTGAAATGTTATATACTATTCAAAAAAAGTAGGGGATATTTGATTTTGGGGGCATAATACTAAAATATGCAAATGACTACGAAAAAAGTCACTATAGAACCTAACAGAAGAAACATTTCCAGTTACATGTGACGCCCAAACGCACCAATAGCTACCGCATGGAATGCAGGTGATGCTTGGGATCATCATGGGGGTCCAACCCAAGATTTGCACGACTCTGACTTTGAATGTTACAGTCATTGTGGCATTGAATTCCAGGGTGGAAACATCAGTTTAATTGTTTTAGTGACCAGAAAACAAATTTTGATATGCGTCGGCTTACCCAAAATGAAAGGTTACGTGCCCTTGGCATGCTACAGATCGGCACAACACAGGCGGTTGTGGCGCGGACGATGAATGTTTCTCAGTCTGTCATAAGCAGGCTATGGTCCAGATACCGTGATACACAATCTGTACAGGACAGACCACGCTCAGGTCGACAACTCAAGCCCAGGATCGATTTATCCGTACCTTGGCCTTGAGAAGTCGTGTCATCACAGCAAATCAGATCAGCGCTCGTCTTCAAACAGACACTGGTGTGAGAGTGAGTGGCCAGACGATTCGGAATCGACTGCATAGGGGTCACCTTCGCGCCCGACGTCCTCGCGTGATCCCTTGTTTGAGAGATCATCACATTCAGGCAAGACGTCGTTGGTGTAGGGATCGTCAACACTGGGATAATCGACGCTGGAGCAATGTGATGTTTTCAGATGAGTCAAGGTTCACTGTTGATTTTTTGGACAGACGTAGGAGGGTGTGGCGTCGTCGAAACGAGCGCTTCCAAGACGTTAACGTCATCAGACATGATCGATTTGGGGGTGGTTCTGTTATGGTGTGGGGAGGCATCACTGTTGCTGGAAGAACGGCTTTACATGTTGTTGCAGGGCGTGTTACAGGCCAGTACTACCGGGACAACATCTTGGCAGTCCATGTTGTGCCGTTCGCACGACGTCATGGCCGCAGTTTCATCTTCCAGGATGACAACGCAAGATGTCACAGGGCCAGGATCGTTACAGGTTACCTCCAACAACAGAACATCACCACATTACCTTGGCCAGCACTGAGTCCCGACCTCTCCCCCATCGAGCAGGTCTGGGACATGCTTGGACAGAGGTTACGTTAACGTCAACAACGTCCTGCCAATGTCCAAGAACTTTCTGCTGCGTTGCAACAGGAATGGGACAATCTGGACCAAAATGACCTTAGACGTCTCATTAGGAGTATGCCACGTCGGATCAATGCTTGTTTGGCAAACAGAAGAGGATTTACCCGTTACTGACTTGGTTGTGATGCTGTGGTAACTTTGCTGTTTGACCCCGGGTATCATTTTACCCTTATAATGGTCAGTCTGTGCCTTACTTAGTCTAACGATCATTTGGAATAAATCGATGAATGTGAACTTCATTTCATTTTGTCATTTGTTTCTTCGTCAGTTTCATTAGGTGACTTTAATAACACTTAAAAATCAAATATCCCCTACTTTTTTTGAATAGTATATAAACTACATGTATTAATTAGACATTTATTATAATCAACTCTTGATGTCATCAAAGGTGTCCGATTTTCATTGGATTTGAATCTGATCTGCTGTTCGCCGTCTGTTGATTAAACGCAACAATGGATAATCAGGACTTTGTTTATTATCGTGACAGCAGTAACAATGACAATCGAAGCTACAGTCATTTTTAAACAAAGGTTTTCTCGGCGGTAACAATGACAATTGAGGCTACAGTCATTGTTACAATAAAGTTTTCTCGGCTTATAGTCTTATAGTGAAGCAATTTGACTGAAATTCTCAGCATATTCCATTTACATCATCTAGTTTTAACTATTATAGTGAGAACTGCCAGATCTTTATCTAATCCACCATAATGTATCTTTAACTAATAGAAAAAAATGTTTTGTTTGATAATTTGGGTAGGTCTTTTGAACAGTGCTCCTTCATTCATGGTTATACCCATTTGTCAGGATACCTCCTATTTACTTTGCAGACTATACAGTTTGATATTACTTGTCTGATTATCTCGACTGTGCCTCCAAAACTGACGGTAGACAGCAAGGCGAAACCTTTTCTGTCCATCATCATCTGGCACCCTAACAAAATGTCATCACTTGTTTGTAATGCGATCTAAACCCACTCATCTAATCAATACTTATCAATTTCCTGAAAGTAAAATGTTAAAATATGTAAAAATGTATTAAGTTTTATATAACTATTAGTTGTTTATTGCCAAATATTTTTTTTTGTCTTTTGTAAACAGAGTTTGTCTTGAATGTAAATATTAAGAGTCTCTGAGTAAACCAGTTGTTGATGTGATAATTATTTGGTTGTCATCAAATCACAAGTTACCATAAAGAAATAGTGAAATCACCGATATTCCAACTATAAAAGTTAACACTGCATGAAGTTTTAGATTTTATACTTGACATCTACTTACCGGTCTTAGAGATAAGCAATTTTGAGGCAAAAGTTTATAGCATAATTTTTTGTCGGTGGTGGTGGAGACGTGACTGGTGTGTCTCTAGCTGCAATAGTCAAACTGTCGCAAATTTCAAGCCTGGTTGTCTTTCTATTATGACAACTAGCAATTCCATTCTTTTTTTATCATCCAGCTGTGATATTAACATCTGTAAATATTAAATGTAATCTTGATGTAGTGAAATATTTTTTTTTGTAATTATATAATAAATTAGCTCACATGACAGCCAAAGAATCGAAAAGATTTTGTTTTTATACATATTTGCATGCCATACAAAATGTTAATGATATGACTTGTCAGTTATCTGTTTGTCGTCATTGGCACTTTAAACAAACGATTCTGGGTTTGTAACAGGAGCTACACAACCCCCTCATCTGCAGTAAGCATAATACAGCATAAGGGTTGTAGTAAAGAAATTACTGTTATTTATACCTTCAATCCATCAATTCTCTGTGATCTCAACCCTGCCAACCCTTTTTTTTCCGTGGTCTCTGTGACATCTCTTGGATGCCTTGAGACAACACGTCTGTGCACAGTTTTCCTACGCTTTGATGGAGAGGAGGGGTCTGTAAGATGGGTCAGTCGTAGCCTTTTCTGGTGTTGGCAAATCCGGCAAACTTTTAATATTATCAGAACTTGATAGTGGTGTAGGAATAGTGGTGCGTGGATCACTTGATGTGTCACCTACTCGGCATAAAAAGCATAAAATATCGATAGATTTCCCTACTCTTACTGCCTCTAAATAGCTTTTTCTAGACAATTCTGAAGAAAACAAAACATTCAAAACTTGTGAAAATATCAACAAAAATCATTCTAAGGATATTGTCATTTGGTTTATAAATTTCATTGAGTTTAAAACAAATATACACATTGCAATACATAATTACTTTCAACAAAATATAGTCTTTATTATTTGGTAGTTTTTAGTTTGGTCAAAAAATTTCATAAAGAATGAAGACATACTTGTATCACAAGTCCTGCGTGTCCACTGATCACACTTGCTACATGCCATTGGCTTATTGCCTGTTCTTCACTTTTCTACTACACTTTACAGTTTACACACTTCTCAACCATTTTGTATGACAGTTTCTCAATTGACAAAAATTACCAGCCATTCCTTTTATAATAAATACGGGTCTACCTGCTATCACTATAAGCCATTCTATCTTCCAAATTACAAAGAATCTATTCTGTATTTTAGTATACAATGTATCATTTGCAGGTGAAAAGTCCAGCCATTTAGTAGGCCTAGTATCTATTTGATCACACGAAAATATAAAAACAACCCATCCTATAATTCCACGGCATATACAAATGGTGTTAAGTTGTGGTTATGTCTATAATATCCATATTTAGCACATAAATGTCGAATACAGTATCAAAAAAACCGATCAAACATAATCAACACAGAGCCATGAACGGCTAAGACTCATTGTCACCAGACTAGAATAAACAAACTGAAAGTAACACGGAAATGTCGCTGCGCACGCGCTGCACATAGTCGCGTGTTATCCAGGCACTTCTGTATAATGCAAACAGGAACAAGTCTTCACACATGGAGCGATACCAACGATTGAAAGTTTTTTGAAAACGTATCACATGGTTTGAAGCAGTTGCTCGGATCTAAGTTAGAGGTTATTAAGGGCTTTTCACACAGGGAATATCCCTTTAATACAGTTATCTACATATAAATAATATGATTCTGTTTGATAAATAATTAATTTATTTATTTAAAAATATTATGATACCGGAATATAGATAAATGATTTTATTTTATGTAATCATCTATTTGTCTTTTTATTTTATTCTTTTAAAAAAAATTGAGGTGTACGTTTGTATTTTGTGTTTGTGTATGTGTCTAGGTGTGGGAGGGGGGGGGGGGGGTCATTTTATTTTTATTCTTAGTTTATTCTTATTCTGTGTTTAATACTCCACGCAGTTTTGTTTAAATATGTTGATTATAATGTATCATTATTGATTATGATTATGTATAGTTGAAGTTCAAGTAATTATTTAATATTATGTACTGGCATTTTAAACCACAGAAAATAAACTATTCAAGTTATGTGTCTAGCTGTGTTGATACATAAACAAGCTTCATTTTGGTGAAATAATTATGTCTCTAGATCTGTTAAATTTCTAAGATATGGAGTGAGGCTGAGAATTGAAGCAAAATGGCCGATTTCGCGAAGTGTAGGTCTGCCTATTGGCGTTACTAAACGGACAACGACTCCGTCATTCACACTCCGATTTTGAAAAATTTGGCGTTGTTACAATGCTGAGGCTTTCGAAAAATAACAAAGTGGTCGAAAAAAGAATTGATATTTAAAATAAACTGCCGGTAGCTATTTCAACTTTACGTAATTATTTAATTAGAACATAAACCTCTCGAACTATGTCAAATGTCTTTGTATGGTTGTGTTGGTGCGTAAATAAGCTTAATTTTAGTGAAATAATTATGTCTCTAGGAAATTTGGTTGCTGGGATATGAACTGGAGTTGAATATTGAAGCAAACTGGCCAATTTCGCGAACAAGGGGTCTGCAAATTTGCGTTACTAAATAAACAGTAACTCAGTCAATTCTGCTCCGATTTTGATACACTTGGTGCTGTTACGTCGGCTTATGACCCCAAAGCTTCACACTTAATTTGAAAATAAAATATGTTTTAAAAAAACACAATCGTAGTCTCTATCGATTTCGAAATGCAGCGGAGTTTTAAACTATAATACTGAAACACAAACAGGTTTTACACACCAATGGTCAAGTCGTTTAATCAAAATATTAATTAATTCGTTTAAATCTTATATCGTCATAACGAAATAACAAATTCATTATAAAGAAATAATTTATTTGATACAAACAAATATTAAATCTTTTAAACAAAATAATTTTTCACATTAACGTAATAACATTTCGTATTAACGATATAATATTCAGTATTAACGATCTTATATTTCGTATTAACGATGCGAAATGATATTTCTTTATAACGAAAAAAAGTTTGTTTTGTCAAATTAATCATTTCGATTGAACGAGTTGATTATTTCGTTTATTTCCTGTAAACGAATTTATTTTTTCCTGTAAACGAATTTAATAATATTTCGATTTACAAAATAATTTATTTGATACAATGAAATATTACTTCTTTTAAACAAAATTATTTTTCGTATCGATGTAATATTGGCGAAATAATATTTCTTTATATGAAAAAAGATTTTGTTTTGTCTAATTAATTATTTCGATTAAACGAGTTGATCATTTCGATTAAACGAAATAATTAATATCTCGATTAAATGAGTTAATTGTTACGTTTAAAGGAAATAATTATTTGGTTATAATAAATAAATAATAACGAATAATTATTTTTTGGATTGTTGGTATGCATACGTGTGCTGGTGTTATGTGTGCGAGAGAGAGATATTGTAAAGTGTTCTTCTTAAATTAAAAAAAAAAAAAAAAAAAAAAAAATCAATCTATTTTAAATATTGCGTATTTATATCACCGTAGTTTATCTCACAATTACAACACTTGACAAAAACGGATTCTGCACGTGCAAATCTACCTATATAAATCATATGGCTGACATTTTTATTCTTTGCCAAAATGACAACGACTTTACAAGACGCGTTAAATAAAGGGCAAAAGCCCTTATAACAAAGGTATAAAATGCGTGGTTTTGTTCAATAAATATCATTGAGGACAAAAATTATTCATATGTTATTGCCGACCCGACCACGACAACCAGGTTATTCACCAATTTCGACTTGAATTTGGAGAAAACATATCTATTTACAGGATATATAATCCGAAATTCCAAGAAAAATGTAAAATATTTAACAACAGGTAAGAAATTGATTCAATATTCAGTTTTAACAAGTCAGGACCTTTCAAATATTTCCATTACTACTAAGATCATATCTTTAAAAAGGGAAAATATTTGGAAACGAAAAATCTGTAAGCCCACAAAATCTGCGAGTTACTACCAGATGAAAATAGATTTATATAGAAAATATATATTTTCCATTTTCAATTCGAGCTGGAAAAAAAACATTGCCTGGTTTGAATTTGATAAAAACGTTATTCATTACAGAAAAAAAGCCTCGCGGCACACCAAATGAATTAGATATTTTAGAAGAAATAAAGCAAATGGCAAGGGCCCTTTTTTGTCCCTTAGCCCCAACCCGCACAATTATCGAAAGCAGGGGGTTCCTGGAACCATCCATCATAATTGCCACAGTAATTCAGGTAAAGCTCTTTATAATTCGTAAACTTTTCATAAAATTTCTCATCCTGTCACAGTTTAGTAATATAGGGAGATGTGAGTTGTATTTTACGTCCGCTTCCACATGCTCTTGGGTAGTTTCTATCTGTAGTGACTAGTGGTAATTCAAAATGATTTTTAGAAATTCTGACTTTATAAACTAAATGGTTTTAATAATGAACACTTAGAACAAAGAGTCAAATTTTATTAAAAGTAAATGTTAAAGAATAATGTATTGTGTAATTATATGTATTAATATCATTTAGTATTAATGATGTCATGCTTGAAGAGTTATTCCCCTTTTCTCGTATTGTAACCATGACGTTGTTCTTATTGTTTTATAAGTGAAATTATTGACTTTGTAAACTTGAATGCCATTTTATCTATTTTTTACTTTTACTTTGTACATGTTAATATGATCAGGTACAGAAATATAAATAAAATGTTATTAATATACATCTATACTTCAGGAACACAAAGAAGAAAAAATCACACTGTCAGGAGGGAATGAAAAAATAATTATGCCAACTAGGGGAAACCTACAAAGTATCAAATGTAAACGTAAAACTGCACGATATGCAGTTTAAATTCAATTCAACTGCTGACACGCAGATTGAGGTATGTATAATACATTCCTGCACACTCAGCATTTTAAGTTTCCCATTGCCAGATTCGAAAGACAGACATATCATTATTTTATATAATCATTTAAAATCATTTCAGCTAACGGATACAAGCAACGTGCAAGTCATACAGTGCATATTGAAATATGCACAAATATTTTATTAAATAGTTTACAGTATATATATATATGATTTAATTTCACAATGCAAAATATGCATTAAACTTTAACAGGGCTAACTCGCTTGTGAAGAAGTACAAGTTATGGATGTCGAATTATTGAAATATAAAACTATTTGATATTCTTTATTTAGCAACAAACATTAATCGATAATAAAATATATCGTATCTTTAGTCACTATTAGTTCGAATAATCTTAATAACAAATTTTATAAATATAATAATATATATTTAATATATATTGTAAAATATTCGCTAGTAATTGTAATAAATGATATAAATTCTTTTCCGTTTATTTTAGTACTGTAACAGTGTACATTGACAAAATATGCAATATATTTTATTTTAGATATTTTATTCTTATGTATATTTTATAGATTATATAGTTTATTTTAAATGTATATATGTTTATTAAAGACGTCGAGTCTATATTGCATAAATCAACCTTGACGCTGATTTGGTGTCAATAGATCTTAAGCATATTATATAATGGTATACTGATATAGAAGAACTTGAATAGAGGGTCCTTTATTGGTTGTTTATTTTAAAGTAATTAAGTAAGATTAATGGTGACAGCTTTAACTTTAAAAACAATACCTAGGATTACACTGACGCTATTACTCGGGTTGTCGTTACCTGACATTAAGTCAAGCGAGTCTAGATCCGGCCAATCAGATTTCGTATCGAGTAATGGGCGTCTTCCGTAAATGGTCTTCCACCAATCAAAAAATGAGATTAATCCAACACGTGGCATCTCTAATATTTGCCGGGATTTTTGGAAGATATAAATATATCTAGCTAAACTTTCACCATTATCTTCACTTAATAAATTACTTTGAAACGACAATATTGGATCTCTCTTATATTCAGGTAAGCCTCTATGTATATTTTGATTGTTTAAACTTTATATATATTTTATTCTAACCTTTGATTTAGAATTATATCCTTTTATATCGGATCAATACGATTAGTAGAATCGAGTATTACATTAATAGATATTTCTTCATCTACGTAAAATATTAATTAATAAACGGAAAAGTAAGAATTGATATGATTCATTACTTGTTTAATTACTTGAGAATATTTTACAATATATATTTTTAATAGACGGAAAAGTACTATATATTCGATAGATTACTTGTTTATTAAAGAAATGTGTTATTTAGATTAGTGGAAATAATTAGTGACTAAAAAGTACGGTATATGTTATTTTCGATTAATACTTGTTGCTAAATAGAGAATAAAGATTTAATAGTTATATTTACTAAAGATTTAATAGTTATATTTAATAAAGATTTAATAGTTATATTTATTAGTTACATTTAATAAGGATCGTACATTTAAGAAATTCTACATCAGTAACT